GGCTGGGGGGTGTCCGAGTGCGGCTGGGCACGGCCACGCTTTCATCGGATGCCTTCCCTCTCTGCTGCGGGGAAGCAGAGGGCAAGGCAAACGGGAAGGGAAGTCCAGCCAGTCACCCCCTTGACCAGGGCTAGGGGCCAACCTGCACCCCAGCTCCTCATGTTTCCAATTTCATCTGCTAGGCTGCCCACCCCACTGAGAGGCATAGCCTTTAGGCTGGAAACTCCTGATCTACAGGTTTGCAGGGGGACCCATCCCCCAGGGCATGGAAAAAAAGAGCTGAGAGGCAGACAAAAACCCCTTCAGGAGGTGGGAAGCAGCGTGGAGCTGATGCTCGTCTCAAACCAGGCTGTGTCCTGCTTCACACTTTGCACAGAGGTGACACGAAAACCACAGAGGCTGTCCTCACAAATCACCGTGCTCCAATGACCAAGGAAGCGGACAGCAAAACACCTCCTAGTAATACCTCTGCATCGGCCCTTGAAAGAGATCTTACTATCCTGTCTGTTAGCAACGGCCTCTGGCACGCAGGCACTGTCTAGTGATCCTCCGTAACGTAAATCTAATCAAGCTCATGTTAAAACAGCAGGAGCTGCTGGCATCTAAGCTTGGACCGGAGTTATCCTGGGAAGAGCCCCAACAGCCATCAGCAGCAATCCCCGGCGCGGCTGTGATACCCAGCCCCGCAGCCCTGCCCTAGGAAATGCCTGGTGGGAGCCCTGTGGTGCCGCCTAATCAGTGTCAGACTCACGCACGCTCATTGCCACAGCATCTGCCAGGGACACAACTAATGTTCCTCTGACATATGCTGGCAGACCGTGTTGCTTCAGCATTGCCACACTGTGTCCCCGAAGGATTGAGTAGTAAAAAACAAGAAGCAAGGATGCAACATAGTAGCGTAAACTCATGTCCAACTTCTATTTTTCTTTAAGAAGCTGGTCCTGTGATGCAACCTCCTGATCAAAGCCCCTCATTTCTACCCAGCAGTGAAAGGAAAAGGTTATGAAACTGTTAAGCAATTTACTACGTCAAATCACAGCACTGTGCCAGTGCTGCACAAAGTGTCCAGCCCAAACAGCCTGGCAGAAGAATAAAGCAGCAATGGGAATACTGGGAATACTTTGGGCTCCTACAGAGAAGTCACGTATTATTACGTAGGCAATTAATGTGTTACATCTCGCCTCCTCTTTTATATTCCCTGAGAAACTCTTTGTCTTGCAAGACAGACCACAAAAGTTCCTTGACAGGCAGAGCAGTGGCGACAGGGAGGAGAGGCAGACACAGGGACCGACTGGTGACACCCTTGTGACAAGCACCAAAGCCCCAGCAACAAGTAAACAGATTAAGGTGGGAGTTGAGGGAAATCAACCACCCCATTTCCTTACACTGAGGACTTCTTGAGGGTTTTTACGTGTTTGTTTGTTTTGTTTTTTTTCTGAAGTAATGGCTTGGTATTCATCGAGGGTGGTAAAACTGGTTTAAACAGTCACCACCCTGACTGCCCCCCCTTCCCTGGATAATTTTGTTCCCACTATTGCTGCAGGGTGTAAACGTCTGCACTTGAGAGGAGATGGAGGAACTGATCTGGCTGAAAACTCCCTCCCTCCCCTCTCTCCCATGGGCTGTTTTCCATCTGGATCTGTGCTGGTGTTTAGTTCATCACCCAGCTACGCAAGCAGTTGGGGCAGCATGAGGCAGGGATGATGCAGCGGCACATTCGAGCAGCTGGGGTTAGGGCTTAGGCCAGCATTGCCCGGAGCAGGTATTTCCCCCAGCCAGGATTTTACAGTGTTGTGCTTTTCAGAACACAGAGGTCCCACCATTTACATGAGACTTCATTATATTTATTTAAATTAAGATGGTTTGGGGGAGAACTGGGGAATATATTTTGACTGGATGGAGATGGAAGAAGAAACTTCATAAAATCCTTGGCTTTGTAAGCTCTCTGCCACATATGCAGAGTTGCAGCCAAGACAGGATATAGTACAGTTTGTTCAGGTGTTCATTAAGACAGCAATCTACCCACATGCAAAAGCTGTCTTCCTCTTTCTCAACTCAGTGGCATGGTGTGAAAAGGTATGTGTTCATTCAGCAAGGGAACGGTTGTGGGGAGAGCCGGTTTGCTGCTGCCTTTATACTTGCAGTGGTTTACCTGGCTTCAGCCAGCAGCACTATTTCTGAGACAGCCAGGAGCCCAGAGCCAGCTTACACCACAGTTTGGAAATGTAAATGAGTACTTTCTACAACCTCAAATATATCCTCTGTGCCAGTCAGCATGGAAAAGGCTGAAAACAGCATGTCTTCAAGAGTACTCCAAGTGAGGGGGATGCATTCAGGACCAATGGCTTCCCTATTGCCTCAGGAGGGAGGGAGGTTTGAGACACATCCTGGTTTATCGATCATGTTAAATCCAATGATTTTTCACACTAGTGGGCTGTGCCAGTGCAGTCAGTAGGATGAATATATAAAAAAGATGTGTATTTAAGCGAGATACCCCTATAAACTCTTATTCCTGTTTACTGTACTTTACATGGACTATAACCAAGTGCCAAGAAAGCACAGTCAGAACTGCATAAGAAGTACTCGACTCCAACTGCCACTCACAATGGTATGAACGATGCTCACTCAATTTCCAAATTACCCCTGCTCCCTTCTGGCCCTGGTAACAACTGATGGTCAAGCAGTATCAAAGCCACTAATTCGTAAGACAAGAGGGAATATTTGGCATCTATGCAGGCAAAACACTCCCTTTACAATTAATGTGAAAAATCTCTTTAACTGCTGTACATTGCGCTCATCTAAATCTCCTGAGAAAACTGGAATCCAGTTGATGTGAACACTCACACAGGAGTTATTTGCACGGAAGCCACCCTGCTTAAAAGACAGAACAGGTGCTGGTGTCAACATGGAAAATATTGGTATTGTGTTCCCAAGCAACTGTATTGGACGCATAGAAGACCTTATTGTTGTAAAGTCAATGTGAACTTTTATCTCGGTCCTGAGCCATAAACGAACCGGGAGCGCCATCAAGACTGATGGCCATTAAGTAAGCAAACAGTTATTTGTTTTCTTGTAATACCTTGCAGCTGTTACAGACAATTTCTTTATAACCTAGTATCCCAGAGCACGTATGAAATATACTGGTGTGGGTTGCCTGCCATGCCTGTTCCCTTTGAGTGGAGGCACAGACCTTGGCACAGACATTGCTGGAGTCCCACAGCAATGACACTGGACTGCTGTTTTCAAGGCTGTTGACTGCAATGGCCAGCATAGCCACCAAGCAAAAGAGAGTCTCGATACACAGCTGAAGAGTGACTTCACCAGCCAGCACAAATTTTTTCCCATGTAAAGCAATTACACTCGACAGGCAGTGGAGAAGCAGAAAGGTAACAGGGTGCTGCTACAGAAACCTGTCCTACCCTCCTCACAGGCAGAGCGTGACAGCAAAGAGCGCAGATGTCTCTATAGCTCCCCACCTCCACAGAAGCAAGCCTAGGTGCATACAAAAACAAGCCCATATCTCTTGTCACTCTGTCTGTATGCACAAGTCACAGCAAAGATGTCTTCTGAGGGACAAAAAGTTGAGGCTTTGATATGAGCAATCACACATAAAGCCCACCAATGACTTTGAGCACTTGTACGTACACCCTACCTGTTTGCAGCTATACTTACAAGAACAGAGTGACGGGCGAGGATAAAAGCAATAAAAGGGGAAGGCTTAAGGACAGGTAAAACTGGAGTCTACATATTGATTTTTCGCAATGAATGAATCAAAATTACTTTGAAATATACATAGAAAAAAAACTTCAAACGGTTTTCAATAGTACAAAAAGAGACAAAAGCCTGTCTTGTAGGTGAAAAGTTATTTAGTGTGGCAGTGTCACCTTCACTCCCACTGTTGATCTTGCCAGACTGGTGATTCCTGTACAGAAACAGGTCTTTAGAAGTAAGTTCACAGTGATAATTTCTTTTAGCCCTGTCTATAGTGTTTCTTGTCTAAATATTTGTAGGAGAAATTAATAAAGCATATGCCTGCTGGGGCTCAAGCTAGGCTGTGGATATTTTTAAGAAGAGATGGCTCAACCTATCAGGCTATGCAATCTATCTCCTCTGACTGCTGCGACGCTTTCTTACTCTGAACAAAGCCTCTGCCCCAGTTTACACTCACAAAAGACTGGTGCGTTTTCTGCCTACAGAGAGGGACCTGGCTCTCAAACAAAACACCTGCTGAAGAGGAGAGGGGATGCTGAGAGAAGGGTCAGCAGGGCTTGAGTTGTCCTCGCAGCATCAGTGGATCCGTCACTGTCCAGCCGGGGCTTTGTGTCAGCCTGTGAACCTGGCTGGGAGCAGGGCCAGCTCCCAAAAGCACACATCTAAGGGCAGGGCCGCTTTGAAAGGACTGGGTGGTGTGGAGGAGAGAGGAGCGTGCTAAGGAACCGAGCAGCCCTTTGATTTCTGCAGGGTTACAGCCACATAGTGATTTTCTAAGGAAAATAACCTGACTCTGTTGATCAAGTAGATGGCACTGTGATATCAAAGCTAATGAGGAAAGACAAGCAAGCGAGTGAGGCACAGATAAAAGGACAAGAAGATGAATCTTC